TTATTCGGTACCTTACCTTAGTAGGTACCAGAAACTAGATTTTCAAAGTAGCTGTATGCCAAATTCCGTATGAAAGGCTTATATCTCCTTGGAATTTTGATACCATTCTTTAACCTTTCAGTCAATTCTTCTTAGAAAATGGTAGCTGTTTTAAATATCATCACATTTGCTGAAGTCACCAACTGGCTGCAACCCCATGTTTGACAGATAATAAAAGAGCACCCAGTGTACCAAACATCTCTACATTAACAGAGTGCAATCATTGTAACATAGATATAGAGCCTAGTTTTTTCAAGACTGAAATCATTACAAACTAGCTGGACCCGCTTTCGAAGACAAGAATGATGGGTGCATCAACTGAAAGTCACTGACCTACTATATTTCTACTCTCTACTCAAATGGAGAAATAAATCTTGAGAGATGCATAAAAATAAGGTCTAGATAATTGTAGAGATGTACAGATTGATTCTCTATTCCGCTTTCCTGGTTGTACACTCCAGAATTTCAAAGGTGAGGAAACAGCGCGCACGGCTAGTGAACGGAAACTTCAATTGTTTCCAATATGGCGTCTTTGAAGACGGACTTTCTCAAGATTAGATCTAAACCAAACTAATGAAAAACTGAAAATTAAACTACAGTGACTTCAGGCTCCTCAATAAAACTGTGCTCCCTTTAACTTTAAATGATTCTGTACCAACATTAATTTTGTGAAATTCGAAAGTTATGTGGTTCGGAAGTTTTAGGCGGCCAAAGTCATGAATTTCCACAAATATAATAATATGCAGAGATCAGTATTTTATCGCCTCAAACACGATGATCTGTCGTTATTTCAACAAGAACACCCTAAGGGGAGCGAGTCGGCTCTATACTGTAGTGCACCGAGTGCTCCCTGAGTGCGGGGTCACATGCTTTCCGAGTTCAGTGGAAGGATTGATGCAAAATAATTCCAAGCTGATTACTTTATTCTAATAGAAAATATCATGATCTTTTTATTAGTACCCTTTTAAGCCGGTATTTTACATATTTAATGTAAAAAATGATCTACAATTTTGGTAGAGCAGATAGGACATTCGATTTCTGACCTTATGGTCATTGTAACTCAAAAAATGTCAAATAGAACTTTTCTTAAGGCCCCCTCTCACTACTCACTTCCTGATCTCAAAACCGTCTCAAAATGATCTTCAGATGGTCTCGAGACGATTTCAAGGCGGCCCCACGATGGTCTCCATATTGGGTCCGTGAGCGATCTTGTTTATGGCCACACACTACACAGGCCAACACATTATCAAAATGGCCCCCACCCAAAGTGAAGTTGCTGCAGCCAGTATCGTTTTGAGTATTTCGCTAACGAAAAAGAGGCTAAAGAATTATGGTGCAAACAATGGCTACTTCGACAAGAGCAATTTACTCACACGCATTTATTTTTGCAGCTTTTTCACCTTCTCCTTTCTTAGTTTTGATCCTTTTAACATGAAACTTTCAGGAAGCATAGATGACAAGCCTGCGATCAATGTAACTGAGAGATACTCGCGGAAAAAAAGAAAATTTTCCATTGGGAAGCGATTAAGCAAACAAAATTTAGCTTATGTACATTAGGAAAATTCTCATATTTCATTTTTCTTTTACTTTGTGTTGTTCAGATTAACATATTGTGGTCTGCCTGTCAAAAATTGACTAAATTGTTTTTAAATGACAATATGTATGCTGTTGAATCGTATTGAATACTGAGGGAAAATCAACAAAAAGTACCCTCGTATATGTTGATTTTTCCTCAGCATTCAATACAATTCAACTGCATACTGTCTTTGAAAAAAAAAGAAGCTGACTCACGCAAAGAATGGTTTATTAACATAGCTACATCAAACGTTTGATAAACACTGTTTCGTATCAGATCCCACTAGAATTTGACGCTGATGAAGATTCTGAAGTTAGAGTTGCAAAATTTTGACTTTGGCACCCTTTTATTTTTAGCGTCGAGTACCCTGATCTCCGATCCGACAGATAATTTTCAGGCTCATTCTGAATTCAAGCGATCTCACGGTTTGTTGAGATTTTTAACTAAACTGAGCAGTCCGCATTTTGGTCTTGAGATCATCTTGAGATCATCTTGAGATCGCGTTCAGTTGGTATAGAGACCATCTCAAGACGGGCGCACCCTTTTAACTTCGTAGTGAGTTACGGGCTTAAGGTAGCAAATATTACTAAACCAGCAGAGGGATATAATACGATGACTTTGATACACTCTTTCACACACACACACACACACACACACACACACACACGCGCACACACACACACACACGCGTGCACAAACACATACACACAAACACATACACAAACACAAAAAAACACACACAAAAACACACCAAGAAAACAACAAAACAAACACACACAGCCACCCCCTTCGCACACACACATACAAACACGCACACAGACATATGATGTACCGTAGAGCGGGGAATTGATTTTCTTCACGGAGTATTTGATGATGTTGCTGGGTGCTGTGGTATCAGAGTCTGTAACAGCCCTACAGGTGAACACGCGCGTGTCCGCTGGAAGACAGAAATGGACTCAAATTCCTCAGTGTCATCATCATCATCATCATCATCATCATCATCATCATCATCATCATCATCATCATCATCATTCCTCCTCCTCCTCCTCCTCCTCCTCCTCCTCCTCCTCCTCCTCCTCCTCCTCCTCCTCCTCCTCCTCCTCCTCCTCCTCCTCCTCCTCCTCCTCCTCCTCCTTCTCCTCCTTCTCCTCATCATCATCAGCAGCAGCAGCAGCCTTGGCTGAGTGAGACTAGTGCAAAGGCCCTGGACAGAATACAAAACAAAGCCCTCCGCCTTGTATCACCTCAGCTGAAAACAACACCAACAGAAGCACTGCGCTACGAGACCAGAACTGAGCACTACATCACCTATACAAAAAGAACATGCCTCAAGTCTGTAGAGATGGCTAAGAGATTGCTAGACAATCACACTAGAAAGAAAGCCCATGATCAAGCAGTCAAGCCTAAAAACAGGAGGACAAGTTTGTTGCGGATGGCCACCGATCTAGCAGACCACCTCCCCCCTGAAGCAGAGAATCGATGGCCGATCAATCTGGTGAGAGCTTGTCCATGGGAGACCCATGGCGAAATCGAAATTCGGACAGAACTGGGAGGAATGAAGGGCAAAGGTGATGATCCTGTAAAGGCACGTGAAACTGCAGAGGATGTGATCAAAGAGGTTGGTGCGGATGTGACAATTTTCACCGATGGATCGGCTGTCGCAGGATACCGCGAAGGTGGAGCAGCAGCTGTAGTGATAATAAATGATGAACCACCACGAACAGAAATTATTAAAACTAAAGGTGTATTCCTTACATCATCTTATGACGAGAAATGCCAGGCAATGATGTCTGCTGCTAAATGAATTGCTGACAATTGCCACAGTAGAACCAATGTGCTGATCTTGACTGACAGTCAATCCCTCTGCAAGGGACTGCTAGGCAACAGCTCGGACATAAATGATTTTCGCCGCAAGTTCAGTGAAGCAACAGCCACAATAAAAATCCAGTGGATTCCAAGCCATGTTGGAATAGAAGGAAATGAGGCAGCAGACCTAGCTGCTAATGAAGCCAGAGAGATTGAAGGAGACAGACGAGCAACAAGATATAGAGGAGTCTTTTCAATGATCAAGAGGGAAATCAGAGACCCACCACGCAGAGCTGGTATTGGAGACCAATAGGAAAAAGAACAAGAGGAAGACCATTCGGAAGCTACAGAGGTACAATTAGGGATACGGCAATCACCCACGGCCTGGATGGAACAAAATTTAAAAAGACGGCCTGGGACAGGCAAGCTTGGCGTCGACTGCTCTTCGCCTTATGTACTTGACGGTATAAGGAGATAGTAAGTAAGTAAGTAAGTAAGTAAGTAAGTAAGTAAGTAAGTAAGTAAGTAAGTAAGTAAGTAAGTAAGTAAGTAAGTAAGTAAGTAAGTAAGTGGGTTTTTTTTTGTTTGTGGGGGGGGGGGGGGGGGGCACTTTGGGGAAATTGGGCGATTGGGGGCGTTAGTGGGAGTTAAGGGGGTGGTTTGAAATTTTCATGAAACAAAAGAAAAAATGGTGAAGGGAAAGAAGCCACATTTTAAAAATAAAAACAAACTGATAACAGTTAAAGAAATGGTTTAGATTAGGCATAGTGTACAATACTTCTTACTACTAAGATCTTTATTTCCCAACATGCAAAGCCCACATAAAGAAGAATCATCCCGACAGATCTGACAAAGACCTGGTATACTTCAAAACTCTAAAGTTAAATTTTCAGAAACGAAAGACAGTTAAATCTATGTTTGCAGCCTACGTACGTCGATCAAACTGGTGAAGGCTTTCAAGAAACATATCATTTATCTCTGCTACTTGCAAAGGTAAGCAAACCCCGTACTATCGGTGAGGACCTCATATTGCCTGCGATAAGAGAGGTGGTCAGCACAGTCCTGCACCGTGCCCGGAGCCTGGGGTGAAAGTTCTCCCACTAAGTGACACGACAATACTCTTCAAAGACGTATTGAAAAGATGTCAGCAAAATAATGTTGAGGAATCATTGTGCAAAATGCTTAAAGGACGTGAGTTCAGTCTTCAGCTGGATATCAGTTCATAGAGAGTGAGGAAATATTACAAAAGTTATTTGCGAAAATGTTGGAAACAGATACCAAAGGCGAGTCTATTTTAAAAGTGGTCCAAGATTTTTTCGAGGAGAAACAGATCCCTCTGACCAAAAAATAATTATTATAGTTTCCTGTGCAACAGATGGGGCACCCTCGATGACAGGTCGGTACCGTATATTTATGAGCTTCTTGAAGAAACCAGTCCATGGAGTACTTACTGTTCACTGTGTCATTCATACACAGCATTTGGTGGCAAAAAAACCTGAGTGATAGTCTACATGACACACTGGCCATTGTCATCAAGTGTGTGAACAAGATCAAAGCCCCCCCCCCCTTTTTTTTGAATTCGAGAATATTCCAACAACTGTGCTCTGGAAATGACGAGGACGTTTAATTCTTACTTTTGCACACTGAAGTGCTGTGGCTCTCAAAAGGAAACTGTTCAACACGATTGTTCTGCCTGTTTGACTCTGTGCTGTTTTTTTCTCAAGAAACAGACAGTGATCTCTGCAGTTAACTGAAAGAGCAAAAGGACAACATTTTGTTCCTCACAGATCTTTTCACGAAGTTCAACCAGGTCAACTTGCAGCTGCAGGGGGATGACACCAACCTGATCAAGGCAAAATCCATGCTTTCGTCATTCTTTTCGAAATTGGAAATGTTCCGCCGAATCATAGGCAGAAAAGAATTTGCTCAGTTTCCTAGCTTGGTGGAGACAATGAACGAAGGACGTGGGTCTGACGAGGAACTAGAAATGTATACCAACCACTACCACTTCAGATATTTGCATGCTGAACTTCTTATTTTTAAACTTGAAATTGTAGACTGGGTACTCGACCTATTCAACACTGAAACAGATGGTAACTTGTCTGTGACAATTGAAGAAGAGCTTCTGACAATGAAACGTGACTTTGAAATCAAATCATTGTTCAGTAAGTCGTACCAGTCATTCTGGTTGAAAACTGTTGTGCAAGACTAATATCCCTCCAAGTAGGACAATCAATTTGTTGTTTATCGCTTTTCTAACCTCTTTTCTAGTAGAAAGGGGATTCAGTGCTGTGCCAAGGTTGCTGACGAAGCAGAGGAACAAACTAAGGATCACAAAGCGTGGCGATTTGTGTCTGCTACTGACCAATCAAAAACCTGATGTTGATAAGTTGGTTTCGTCTCACCAGGTCCGTCCTTCCCATTAAGGCAGTGTCAGTGACTTAATTGTATATATGCTTATTCTGTAGTTTATCCTTACTTGATACCGCAAAGTGTATTTTTTCAAAAGCAGTATACTCACTTGTTTAATACAGTTTGTTATGTGCATTTGTTGCCACTGCTGATGAAACTGATGTTAACGATGACGATGGTGGTGATTATGATGATTACAATGGTGGTGATGATGATCACAGACTAAGATCCATGCATACTTTTTCTTTCTTGTGATTTTTCACCTTTGAACTACTTAATATATTTTTATGTTCTGCAATGGAGATGTTTGATATATACAAATCACAGGCCACTTTATTGCACAAACTCGCACAAACATACCCCCCCCACCCAAATGCACAAACAAAACACCCACCCACACACTCGCAAACACCCCTTGTGTGTGAGATATTTGATATACAAATCACAGCCCACTTTATAGCAGCACGTTGATGGAAGAAAACGTTTCATATGGATAATGTTAATCTTTTTTCAAACTATTGATCACTGATTTTTGTTTGTTTTACTTCTGTATATGTGACAATACATGTATTACTTTTATTGATGTTAATGACTCTGGTCGTTTAATATCGACGACAACTATATGCATAAATGGCAACATTTTGTTCTTGCACAATATTGAAGAAAAATTGTTTTATTATCTCTCGTACCGGTATACGCATAATTTAAGATTCTATAAAGATGGTGATTTGTGACCCAACTAAAGTTTCTATTCAGAACCAAATCATGAGTATTTATTAGGCACGTTGTTTTGTACCGTGCTGTTTGAGCTCTCTCTGTATATGTGATTGTTAATATGCATATCGTTGTATCAGATTGATGGGTGGGGTGGAGTAGGGGGCGCTGGGACTCTGCTGGGTGAAAAAGGGGGCGGTGACCAAAAAGGTTTGAAGACCACTGCTCTAGACCACGAGAGCACACTTTTGAAATGTGTGAACGTGTTATGCAGTTGAATCATTCATGTATTACCAGATTCAGCCTTCGTGATAAAAACAAGTTTGGACTGGGTCGACTCATTCTCCGAGACGTCAATACTGGACGAGTCGTCAGCTTTATCACTGCCTGTGATCAGTCGGATTCCGCTGTCAAAAGAAAAGGTACATTATTTGCAAAGAGAAAAACTGTTTCTCATTTTTTTGCGACTCTATCGAAAAGATTTTTTTCAAATTCAATGTATTATTTAAAACATAGGCTTACAAAAGCAAACAAGAACTAACAGGTATAAATAAAAGCATTCACACCATTCGCTATCTTAGAATTACAAAGTTCACAGTTAGTTTTAGTAAGGTTTTACGGCGCTCGCAAATGCATAAGGTCATGTGAGCGTCAATGGTTCGATGTCAACAGAAAAGTCCGAACGTGGGATCAGACTTACTCTGCTCACCTCTCTAGCCTCAGCAGTACAAAGTCTACTTCGACTATCAAGGCACCCCGGAAAGTTCAATAATACATTTTTTGGCCCCGATGTAAAAAACAAACAAATGTTCTATCTGCTTGACCAAAATCGTAAGAATAATACTATTTGAAGCCGTTGTCAAGATATGCGAAGAATTGCATTAAAAAAAGCTTTACACAATGTTACTGTGAACTCAAAAATTTTGACTGCAAATTTCTAAAAACCAGGTAGATCTACTGAGCTGACAGACCTTTGTAACTCCCAGGGAGCGTGTTGTCTATGTTTTGCGCTTCTTTCGAAAGGCTTTTTAAAGTAAACCTATTATGTAAAAGAAACAAGGCAAACACGAACCAACAGGTATAAAAAATCCATTTACACCATAGTCATTTCGAGCTACCAAGTCAATGTGATCTGTATGAAAAATAACATAAATTTGTATGTTCGTCCAATGACTATTCGCGTGCGTGTATGTATGCATGTATATGTATGTATGTATTAATAATAATAATAATAATAAAAATAAATAAATGATATATAACATTTATATAGCGCATTTCCAAAAAATGGCTCAAGGCGCATTTACATTGGAATACCCATTTTCAAAACCTTTCTTACTACTTCCTTTCTTCTCATGTAATATATATTTATGCACACACACACATACACACACACACACACACACACACACACACACACATACACACACAAACACACTTACACACACACGCGATCGATTTCTGAAAATGATAATTTGTTTTCCTTGTCGATTCAGTGGGCCTGGAGTTGAACTCGTCCGAGAATAGACATTGCTATTGATCTGTGCAGTTTTCTCGCGGTTTTGTTTTCAAACATGTCATGAAATGAACCAACTGAAAAAGTCACATTCCCGATCTCTACAACAAACAAAAGACGTAAACAAACCGACAAACAGTGCAGAAGCATCATCAGAACAACATAAATGATGATCTATGAAATACCGGCGTGCTCTTCCCCCCTCCTTAAAATATTTTCTCCTTACCATACCCCCCAAAAAAACAACAACAACAACAACAACAACAACAACAACA